AATAGCAGAAAACATATCTAATCCACTGGTATACAATTGAAAATAAAAAGCAAATAATAGAATAGTTAAACTACTTCATTCCGTAGCAATAATTTAAGTCTAGTTCCTTTATTTATTAGCAATTATCCAACCTCCCATAACGGGGTGGTAACATTACCTACAAGGTGTTATATTTACAATAACATTCTTATTACAACAATAAATAACTCAATAAAATTCCTATATTCTATTACCATAACAAACTAGAATCGATACGTCGTGCTTGGCTGTCGGAAACGGAAGCGTACAACGTCGCACGTGGCCTATTTATCGAACAATAACATACATGGGGAATGCGACGAGATATATATAATATATATACATATATTAGACTGTTCATGCAATATATATCTAATATATAAAATTCTCGTGTCTCAGTGTTTGTTACCAAACTCCTCCGAAACGGCTTTACCGATTTTTATAAAATTTTATGTGCATATCGGGTAGGTCTGAGAATCGGCCATCATCTATTTTTTATACCCCTCAATGATAAGGGTGACCCACCCCTAAATATATTTATTTTAAATTTTTTTGTATTTTTTTTTTATTTTTATTATGATTTAACATTGAAATATACATACAAATTCAAATTTTCACGCTTTTACGATTAACTCCTGTTGTTTATATATATATATATATATATATATATATATATATATATATATATATATATATATATATATATATATATACGGTTTTCGGATTTGTTCCTTTGTTTGTGCTACGAAACATTATTGCTTCTGGCTAAATTTCATGATTCTAGGTCACCGGGAAGTACCCTATAGGTTTTGATTCCTTTTGCGAATGTCAAAAAATGCTATATAAATGGTACATAAACGGCAACAATGTAACATTGTATAGTGGTTGGTGGATAGTAGAAAGCCGATAGATGTAAGCGATTTTGTAGTCAAACTCAAATTTTACGTTCAAGTGACTTACACATTGAATTAATATCGTGCTAGCATAATGAACCAGCGTAAGTTGTGCTACCATCGTTAGAAACTCAATTTGATTTTCAAAACTCATTTCACGTCATTTGTCATTGCCAAAGTTTACAGAATAGGAAAATTAAATTAAGTGAAAGTGAGTTGTGATACGAAGTGAAAAATTTAAAGGAATAGTTTTTTTTTATATAACTTAGAATAGCAAACAAGCTGACGGCCCACCTGATGGAAAGTGGTAACCGTCGCCTATAGATATGAGCAGTACCATGGACATAACAGAGTATACTGTTTCGCCCATGATACCCCCCCCCCCCATGCGTTGCCATTCCAGAGGACTCAGGTGTTATTCCTCTGTACCCTGTAAATTCACGCCATATCCTATCCTTCAAATCGAAACACAGCCATGCAAACACAACTGCTTCACAGTAGAAACACGAATGGGACAGAGGTACCCAAGCAATCGACTTTTGTACTAAGTCTTCCTCTGGTGACATATAGAATAGCTAGACAATTTTATTTTTAATAAAATAGATAGAAATATACCCTGCCGTGTGGGTCCGGTATAGAATAGGTCACCCCATACTCTCTCGTGGTGTCGTAAGATGCGACTAAGGGAAACTTATTTATTTATTTATTTATTTATTTATAGGATTACCAACATAAGATACAGCTAAACATTTCAATACAATACACTGGTAGATTAGATCTAACTGTTCTTACATTTATAGGCAACCGCGCATGCCTTGTATTTGATAAACATTAAAATAGAATTAAATTATTAAATGTCATCAAATGAATAAAGGTATTAACAATATGAATAATAAAATAATATAAATAATGGAAATTGTAATTAAATTATTTTAAATTATAAATAAATATAATGCAATGGCGAGGTACATCAACATTTTAATTTAGCCATGAACACAGAGTGACAATCATTGTGAATATCAAGTTCGGGCGTGGTTTTTACAATATCGTTATACAGACGCGTTATGCGGACGATAGGTGATTCGCGGCCCAAGTTTGTTCTGCAAGCTGCATTTTTAAATAGATTGCAAGGATGCCGCAAAACTTTGAAAAACATGAAACTTTCCGAAAATGGTCGGGGTATATCGACATCACCAAAAACCTAACTGCAATTACCAACCCACCTGCCAAGAATGGCAACTACTGGCAAAATCACCGTATAGGATGAGACCTATGTTCAGCAATGAACAGTTAACGGGTGACATGATGATGATGATGTTTTTTTTTATACAACTTAGAATGGCAAACAAGCTGACGGCCCACCTGATGGAAAGTGGTGACCATCACCTATAGACATGAGCAGTGCCATGGACATAACAGAGTATACTGTTTCGCCCATAATACCCCCCATGCGTTGCCATTCCTGAGGACTCAAGTGTTATTCCTCTGTACCCAGTAAATTCACGCCATATCCCACTCTTCAAACCGAAACACAGCCATGCAAACACAACTGCTTCACGGTTGAAACACGAATGGGACAGAGGTACCCAAGCAATCGACTTTTGTACAAAGTCTCCCTCTGGTATCTGTCCTGGATAGTTACCAGTTATATATAAAATATTGCGACTCATTAGTTTGAACAAGCAATATGAACCGGCTGAAAAGTGTAATGAGACGTATAAAATTGAGCGACCGTCCGTACCACCCTATAGGAGACAGTGTGTGTTTTATCTATCATCTTGTTGTATTTTGTTAAGAGAGGGACTGGCTGAATACCAAAGGGAGACTGTACAAAAGTCGTTTGCTTAGACACCTCTGTCGCATTCGTGTGCCCCTGTCATACAGAGTATAGCAAAGTTGCACGTAGAAAAAACAAGGCGCAATAATTGTTGAGTCAGATACAAAATATAAAAAAAAAATGCAACTTAGAATGGCAAACAAGCTGATAGCCCACCTGATGGAAAGTGGTAACCGTCGCCTATACACATAAGTAGTACTCGTCTCGCCTATGATACCTCCCATGCGTTGCCATTCCTGGGGATTCAGGTGTTATTTCTCTGTACACTGTAAATTCAATGCCATACCACCACCTTTCCACCTCTAATTCTTCAACCCGAAACACTGCCATGCAAACACAACTGCTTCACGGTAGAAACACCTCTGGGCCCAAGCGATGATAAACAACATTTGTACAAAGTCTCCCTCTGGTAAATGATTTATTTCATTCGTATTTGTTTCTTTATTGAAATTATATACACGTAATTTTTGAAATGGAAAGATATTTCTTTTCTTTGTTATAAAAAAATAGTGAAATTAAATTATTGTACAATACAGATGCAAGTTATTATAAATTATGTATACAACCATGTTGTAGTTACTCTATATCAATATTAATTTCCCCATAATACTAAAGGGGGTTGGGGCTGTGGCCCGTTAACACAGGTTATATTAACCTATTTAGGAGCCCAGTTCTAAAATCACAACTACTGTATCCTTTACTAGAGGGAGACTTTGTACAAAAGTCGATTGCTTGGGTACCTCTGTCGCATTCGTGTTTCAACCGTGAACCAGTTGTGTGTGCATGACTTCGGTTTGAAGGGTGGGTTATGGCGTGAATTTACAGGGTACAGAGGAATAACACCTGAGTCCTCAGGAACGTATGGGGGGTACCATGGACGAAACAGTATACTCTGTTATGTCCATGGTATTACTCATGTCTATAGGTGACGGTTACCACTTTTCATCAGGTGGCCGTCAGCTTGTTTGCCATTCTAAGTTGTATAAAACAAAACATCCTTTTAAAACTATAATACGAGTATTAATATTAGTTAAGAAACTACAGTTACGTTTTTTACGAATAAATCTCATTTCATTTCAGTTATCCCTCTCTGTTATTTCTTACTAATGGAACTAGCTTTTTAATCCGTTTTGTTTTATTAGTAGAACAGAACGAATTTTTTAGATCGTTTTGCTTTTACTAGTAGAATAAAAGGGATTTCTTAATTTGTTCAGTTCTTCTAGTAGAACTAAGTTGTAGAACAATACGGATATAATATATATCATGGTCATACCACAAAAATTGTTTAAAACCCTGCTTATCTAAATAATGTTTAACAAAACTCTAAATAATGGAACATTGTTTAGTTTGTGTTGTTTATTTAGGTTTTTTTGTTAAATGGATGATAATAAAATGATAACCCCGCCTGCTCTAAGATTATGCGCTGGCGGGGCACCAGTAAGGGGTGATAAGTGAGAATGGAAGAACAGATCTGTTAGTCCATCTTGATAAATACTCCCTTTACCAGAGGGAGACTTTGTACAAAAGTCGATTGCTTGGGTACCCCTGTCCCATTTGTGTTCCTACCGTGAAGCAGTTGTGTGTGCATGACTTCGGTTTGAAGGGTGGGTTATGGCGTGAATTTACAGGGTACAGAGGAATAATACCTAAGTCCTCAAGAATGGCAACGCATGGGGTGTATCATGGGCGAAACAGTATACTCTGTTATGTCCATGTTACTGCTCATGTCTATAGGCGACTGTTACCACTTTCCATCAGGTGGGCCATCAGCTTATTTGCCATTGTAAGTTGTATAAAAAAAATACAATACTATGGTTTATAGTGAGCACCAGGTGGAGGTCGACCTGATAGAGTATATTGCTAGCAATGGGACTGGTAGTCCGCATTACTAACAATTCCCTTCCACCCCGTTTATTTAGGGGTATCATGGGCGACACAAAATAATCTGTTATGTCCATGATACTGTTTACGTTTATAGGTGATGGTTAGCACTTCCCATCAGGTAGACCATGCATGTTTGCCATTCTAAGTTGCATAAAAAAATGTAATGTGCCAAAATTGATAAACTTTATTATCATATCTTTATTGTTTCCTCCATAAGATTACAATAGTAAACGTATTATAAATACAAACAATTACAAGAAAATATTACACTGAGAAAACGATGGGCGGCCTTATCGCTAAGAGCGATCTCTTCCAGGCAACCTTTGGATGAAGAGGAGTAATTATAAATAGTTTGGAAAACAAATAAACAAAAGACAAATATCCTTTTATTTATACATATACTAAATAGATGTCGGCCATCTTAGATAAATAATCTGACCTCTTCTCTGTAAGACATGAAACAAAGGCCTGATGCAAGTGCAAATTTTTTATGGTAACATAGTCAATGTTTTAAGCCAATGTCCGCTGTTCCCAACCCTCCCGCTTGACAAGTCTCAGCTTGATCTCCTCCGCGGGCTGGGTGACAATCGTTCTCGCTCCGAACTGCAACTTCCGAGGAGTACCTTCCGCTAACTCCACGCGGTATTTCTTTAGTAACGTTATAACTCCTGCCATCATTTGCATCTTCGCGAAACGCATACCTGATGATGAAAGCAATAATTTCCAAAATAAATTACAATATCGTAATAATAACAAAAAAATTACAGTGGAACACAGAACCTTCTCCTTTTTTGAAGTCGGTTAATAATAGGTTATTCAGCAAACATTGTTATAAAAAAAGTAACCCTTATAGTATCACTTCATTATCCGTCCGTCTGTCTGTATGTCAAGATCCTTTTTCTTAGGAACGCGTGGAGGTATCAATCTACATCTCTATCTCTTAAATCAGTAAAAAAATCATGCTTCTAAATAGACGCAATCAAAGGATACGGCCGTTCATATTCTATTTATACCACATATTTTGACATTCGCAAAGGTAGTCATAACTTATAGGGTACTCCCCGTTGACTTAAAAAAATTGGCTAGAAGCAATGTCTTGCAGTAAAACTAAAGTAAAAATCTAAAAACCATAAACTTGAAGTTGATAAAAAAAATTAAACTTGATGATTTTGTACGTTGCGCAAGTCTGACTCACACTTGACCGGCTATTTTAATTATTTTTTTGTTAGGTAGGTAGCAGTAATAATATATGTCAATGCTATAGGAATCTGGCCAGACCATGGTACTAGTTGCATTGAAATAAATAGAATGCTCGCTCACACAAATTGCCTCAAATGATTTTAGTCCTCCTATGTCTAAATGGGAGGTTGTCAACATGAAAATGTAATTGATTGATAAAATAACTCGGTTTGCCACAATTGAAGTCGGTTTTTTTTGTGAAACACATTTAATTATAATCATTGAGAGCATTCGATTCCAACATGATAAGGCCAATTGGCTGTTCATGTCAGATCCGTTGCAATGATATCCTAAACTCCTTTCATACCTCTTCCACTTTTCACCTTTCACAGCTTATATTGTACTTAATTAAATTACCTATACAAATACGAGGCCCTTCTCCAAACGGCAGATAAGTGTACGGTTTGATATCTTGCTTCTCATTACCATAGAATCTTTCAGGACGGTACTCCTCTGGTTCCGGGAAATGTTCAGGATGGTGATGTAGATGGTACACCGGGATATGTATGCGAACTCCTTTGTCCAGCACCGCGCCACATGGAAGAGTATATTTGTCTACCACCTCTCGTGTAAGAACTCCAAGGACTGGGTACAGACGCATAGCCTCGTTTATACAAGCCTCCAGATACGGTAATTCTGTCACGCACTCATATTTCAATTTGTTTTGGTGTCGTCTCAGGTATTCATCTATCTCTTTTATAGCTCTTTCTTGAGCGGCTGGATGCTTTGCTAGTTCATATAAAGTATACCGCAATACGGTAGATGATGTTTCGAAACCAGCCGCAAAGAACATCAAGCACTGAGCTACTAGAAATTCGTCGTCTACCTTCAAAGTTACCTTTTTATCGTCACCTTTCATATTTGTTAATCTATCACCCGTAATGTATTGCTTTTCATTAAGAGCCAGCACTAGATCGACAAAGTCATTCCTCGCCGATGGTTTGTACTGCCGTTCAGCAAACACTTCTGTCATCACTTTGTGAAAGAATCTATTTGCTTCCGTGGGAAAAGTCTTCATTCCGATTCCATAAAAGATCATGGGCCAGATGGCCCGAGCGAAAATTTTGAATCCTCTATAATAAGTATCTAAGAACATGGACGCCCCTATAAACGCGAAGGGATTGTCATAGGAGTCCTTCTCCATTGTTCTCGTATTTATACCAAAAGCACAGGTACCTATACCGTCCATTGTGAATCTTGCAAAGAGATCCCTGATTTTTACAACGGGGCTCTTACCAAACTCATTATCAAGCATATCTTGCATGGAGTGAGAGCATTTTTCTATCAAATAGAACATGTTCTTCATTTTTGATGACGAAAACAGTGGCGTTAAGTTTTGGCGCAATACTTTCCACCTGTCTCCATAAGTGAAAAACAAATTTTGAGTGAAAACTTCCTTGTGAGTGTAATCAGAGATCTCTCTGCTGCTGCAGTAATAGTAGTCTTTTGTTATAACTTGTTTGATCACCTCCGGGTCCTGAACCATGAGTGTCGGCTCAGTGCCATAAAAAACGCCAAAGTATGGCGCGTTAGGGAATTTCTTACATAACGACTGTGCTACTTCTGGCATAGATGTTCTCATGATTAAGTATTCACCATAATTACCTAGAATAGGTACGGGTTTTGCATAAGGTATTTTTCTTTTCTTCCAATAATTATTTTTTGTCTTGAGCACATAGTAAACAATGAACAAAATTATAGTTAGCACTATTAGTACAACCTCCATATTAGTTAACAGTGAACTGGAAACGTCGTGTTGTAAATCTGTTTAAGAAGCTTAAGACGTTTGGCTATTTGAAGTAAACAACAAATGTGACTATCATTTTTACTAATTGAGGACGTACCACGAGCATCAGAAAATTATAATAGATAAGTATCTATTTAGATTTAGTCGTTGAAAGACATTGCTATTTCAATTATAACAAAAGAAAATTAAGCAGTAAAGAGCTGAATTTTTCATAGACACGTTAAAATTAAAGTTTTTCTCTGCAAAACAAAATCGGCATCACCAGTCATAAGCATAATAAAATCTTTAAATATTTTTGGTTAGTATATTTTAAGCAGATTTCAAGATTTCCAGATGTATTGTATACATATTTAAAAGGCGCGCTTGTAAAGATAATTATCAATACGAATAATTATGAACTGTTTATCTTGTTTTTTTCAAATATATTTGAATTGTTTTTAATTTTCAATTTAAACAAACAATATATTTTCTCCCATATATTTATGTACATTATGGTAAGCCTACTCACTCAACATGAATAAAAATGTAAACCTGTTATTACGAAACATTTGTATGGAACCACTCAATTTATATAACTAAGGTCGTATGTTAATGTTTTTGTGTATTAAGCCCTATAAACCTTGTACTTGGCTTTGAACTCTTGTAAATATTTTTCTAAATGAAAAATATGTTTATGGGTATGGTAAATGTATGACATTATTGTGGAATTTTTTAATGTCTTCAGTACTTTTGTTCATTTATCTTTTTGTTATAATATTTTGATTTTTCATATTTCTAATACAGTTTTCGTTTATTATAGTAACTTTTTCTGAAATTAGCAGTTATTCTAATATAAATTTTTACTCCGATATTTATTTCATCATGACGTTTATTAAATGCCTTATTTAGTTCTGGTTCTGTTATTTGTTTGTGATTGTTGTTAACTTCTGCAAAAAACAGAGTATCTATACAAGTAACATCAACAACAACAAAGTTTATGTTATCATCACTGAAGTTACACTTAAATTTATACCACGTTTGTAGTATTAAGTAACTGGTTATAAAACATTAGTGTTTGATAATGCTATTTTGTAAGTTTGTCCAATTGAATCAGTAATATTAGAAACGATTAGATCAATCTAAGCATTTTTCCTTAACGTATCTTTTAATACCTTTATGTCAGAATTATAATTTTCCAAAATGTTTATCAGCGTGTCAGTGTTCTTATTTGTTTTTAACATATTAACATTCCGTATGCCACATAATACGATTTTATATTTCTTTTTTTCTTAATTTATTTAATTATAAGTCAATGTTTTAAAAAAATAGAATTATATTTGAAATTGATGTTCTATAAATACATATTGTTAGTATTTTTCTTCTTACACATATTTCTTCAACACACCACAACATTCAAAATGATTTTGAAATCTTGGAATTGAAAGTGGATTGGAATTTAGCGCGACAATCAATTTTATAAAGAATAAATCCTTCTCTAAATATACATAAGTGTCCCTCTTTTTCACTTTCTCTACACAAAAATGAAACCATATTGTAGTTATTTTAATTTATTTTTGATCCTCACTGCCTCTAACGAGGTAACAATACACCTGTCTTTATTTTTTCTGCTCTATACAAGTAATTTTTTTTTTATACAACTTAGAATGGCAATCCACCTGACGGAAAGTGGTAACCGTCGCCTATAGACATGAGCAGTACCATGGACATAACAGAGTATACTGTTTCGCCCATGATACCCGCCGTGCGTTGCCATTGCTGAGGACTCAGATGTTATTCCTCTGTACCCGTATGTATCTATATCTGTTGTTATTTATGTGCTGTAAGTAATGCAAATAAATTATATATCTATCTAAAAGTTTCATCATACCTATCCCTACGATTTTAAGAAACTATTGTTACCCTAACGAATGTACTTATATCTATGTAACAACTTGACTTTGATAATGTATTAGAAAATGTTTTGCTTATCATCTTCTTAGTTTGTGTTTAGGGTTCGTCATAGAATAGTTCACTATTTCATTTATTTATTCAATAACAATCATACAATTGTGTTTGAAATATGTTACAATATTTTATAAACTAAAAATTAAAGAAATAAACAATAAGGTCAATTAAAAAAATAATACAAAAAATAACAAACAAAACAAACAAACAATCTATTGTGGTAATAACAATATTCGTAATTAATATTACATGAACAGAGAAAATCGCCACCATAGAATAGGTCACTCCTTTTCCCGTGGGTGTCGTTCGAAAGTAAATTGCAATTTACGATAGATCAACGGAAAAAAAACCTGAAACGTTTTCCGTCTTTAAACCAAGGATTACTCAATTGAATTATTATATCTATGAGGCAGATTTTTTTTATACAACTTAGAATGGCAAACAAACTGACGGCCCACCTGATGGAAGGTGGTAACCGTCGCCTATAGACATGAGTAGTACCATGGACATAACAGAGTATACTGTTTCGCCCATGATACTCCCCATGCGTTGCCATCCCTGAGCACTCAGATGTTATTCCTCTGTACCCAGTAAATTCACGCCATATCCCACTCTTCAAACCGAAACACAGCCATGCAAACACAACTGCTTCACAAACACGAATGGGACAGAGGTGACTTTTGTACAAAGTCTCCCTCTGGTGATATGATGAACACGAATGGGACATCCAATGGCAATGCATGTGGCATTGCCATTCCTGCAATCGACTTTTGTAAATTCACGCCATATCCCAGTCTCTCTAGAAACACGAATGGGAAATTTTATCTCTCTAAATATTAAATATTTTAGGCCAAATCGTTACGTTAAATACGTTTTTATAATTTCAATAAATTGTTGAATATCATATCATTTATGAGTTATCCCTTTTCCTATAAGAACAATTGTCCACTGAAATGGTAAGTTAGTTTAACATAGACTCATGTTCTCTTGAAAATGAGTTAGTACAAATTAGATCAGATGTAGGTCGAGGGATGGGCACCAGCGTCCCAATTAGAACATTACCAAAGCCATAGGTGATTAATAAAAACTGCGATTGCCACCCCGCCGCCGTTACTGGAAATAACCCCTAAAACAGGGGGAGGCCTATATTATAAAGATACTTTCTTTAAATGAATTTACCGTTTCAAGATTTGTATTTAACTAATCCTGGATGAGAATATTATTTGCCTTTTTTTGTTTTATATTGCATCATGTTTCAAGTTATTCTACATATATATATATATATATATATATATATATATATATATATATATATATATATATATATATAACTGCAGATTTTTTTGTGAGGGATTGGTGCATTACCTAGGAGACTCGATATGGTTAATCCGGCCCTGATTCTATGGAATTATTATAGACTAGCGGCCCGTCCCGGCGTCGTACGGGTGGACATTTGTACATTTTAAAAAGTGGCCATAAAGGTTGCACACGCGACGGACGCTTAAAAATTATGTAACTTCTCCCGTTTTCCCAACACTGTTTTGTTTCTATTGATCGTAGCGTGATGAAAAATATACTATAACCTACACAGGAGTATGAAGAATAATTGTACCAAGTTGCGTTAAAATCCGTCGAGTAGTTTTTGTTTCTATAACGAACATACAGACAAACAGACAAAAATTTTACTGATTGCATTTTTGGCATCAGTATCGATCACTAATCACCCGCTGATAGTTATTTTGAAAATATATTTCATGTACAGAATTGACCTCTCTACAGATTTATTATAAGTATAGATGATAGGTCACTACCATTCCACAACAATAATGGGTTAACGATAATATCGTGTCTTTTGTTTCCTTTACATTGTTACATTGATAAATGTGCAGTGTCATTGCGATGATTTGCAGAGTTCTGTTAAATAATTGTACATAATTTTGGCATTTTTATTAAGAATAGACGTCTAATTTGCAGAAAAGATTCATAATCTACGGTTTTCTTAGGTGCTCGTATTTAAAACGAAGGAAATGCATGGTTTAATCTCTTATATAAATTTTATATTAAAAATCTAAATACTGCGGTTGTACCTGCATGAATTAAACTAAAAAGCCGTATGTATTAATAGTCTATATATATTAATGTAGGTATATATCAGAAATTATAATAACATAAGTTTATTTTTTGTTCTGTACCTAGGCCTGTGTTCAAATTGTATACAATATAATTTCTACCGTGAAGCATTTGTGATATGGCGTGAATTTACAGTGTACAGAGGAATAACACCTGAGTCCTCTGGAATGGCAACGCATGGGGGGTATCATGGGCGAATATCAGTATTACTGCAATGGTCAATAGTACTGTTAGATTGGAAATCGGGCAATAGTTATCAACAATATTACAAACACGGAAATTACACACATCAATCGTCTACTGAATGTAAATAAAAAATATTTATAACAAAGTAATAAATAAATATATATGAACATATACATATATATAAATGCATATTATGTATATTATCATGTATTATTATAATATATATATGTATAGTTATGCGTGATGCGCAGGTATGAGGAGCATATTTTAAAAAAAGTATTAAGAATGAATGTAGATGGCTATAAGAGGAGAGGAAGACCTAAAAAGACATGAATGGATTGTGTGAAAGACGATATGGCCAGAATGGGAGTGAATGCGGAAATGACTGGGAATAGAAAAGAATGGAAGAGGAAAACATATTGCGCCGACCCCAAATAATAATTGGGATAAGGGTAGGAAGTTGATGATCATGTATTATTAGTTAAAAGGTAAAATTTCAATCTTTTCTTGAAGGAAGTAATGAAGGGACTATCCTGTATGTCAATAGGTAGCCTGTTCTACAGTTGCGCAACACGAAATGAGAAGAAATTTCAAAAAAAAATTGGTCTCACTGGACTGAACCAGGCAAGCACGCCTGGGACGAAAGGGAGAGGGCAGGATTCGAAACCGGAAGCGGAGATAAGGTGGAGAGTTGTAGATCATTAGGTATATTATAAACAGTGGAGAGGATGTGCCTATCATGTCGAAGTCGGATTGGAAGC